AAAGATTCAGTTTCAAAACACTTACGCTTGTTCTCTGTATTATGGAAAACTTTCTTTACTGACGACCAAAATAACGCTAATATACCGACGTTACACTGTATACTGGAAGTAAAAACAACACGTTGCTTATATGCACATCACTAATATAAGTTTGGCTTGTGTGCCTTCATGTGTGTCCATGAAATAAATCATCATCAACTATCATTTACATACCTTGCTTATTTTATACACGTGCTATCATCTTATCGCTTGTTCGATTATTTATTATAATATATTCATGCGATATATGATTCTTTTTTCCTCATAAAATATTCTCGTCGTTTTGCTCATTCTATTACTCATCGTTCGAAAGGCTTGAATAACGCAAAATAAAGTGAATCGAAGGCAGAAAAACTATACACTATAATATTGCGTTACTTATTGTTTTGTCATTGCTGCAGAATATTAACTAAATATTAGGATTTCACTAGCAATACTCTACCATCCCATACTATGATCCTTGTTAAACCAAGCCTCAATTGTCCCTTCCACATATGCAAGAAAATATTGGTTTTTGATATGACTTCAAGAAGCGTCTTGTTCTCGTGACCATGTGCTTAGTCAGAGATCGAGACCTAAATACATTTTTGTCCTCCATATCAATATTAAGTCTGTTTCAGAATCATTCCCAGTCACAACATCGATCTGACTGCCAGTTGCAATATATGTCTTGACCACCATCATCGTTCACATTTCTATTCTCGTCGCCATATATATCTTTGTTTCGACTATGATTGCTATTCTCATCATGGTTCTCATTGATGTTGCACTCTAAGTCGTTATCTTGCTACCAGTCATCGTGGTCATTCAGTTACAGATGTGACTCACAATTCTTGTCGCATCACCGACTACATTATCGATTTCAGACCTGATTCGAAGATCTATCGTGCTCGCTATGGGTACACTGAAAAAAAAATCCGAAGAATAATCAACCTTTTCGCTTGAAGAACGGTTTCATAAACCCTTGAAGGGTTTATAACGAATTGATATACCCTTTAAGGGTTTATGAACGAAAGGGTTTATAGCAATGAGGGTATATGAAAATAAAAAGGGTATATGACGCGTAGTTGAGGGTTTATGAGACAAATTTTTTATCAAAAGGATTTATTATTCTACCCTCAAGGGTATATTATTCTACGTTTTCATTAACAGGGTATGTTGTTACACGCATCAGGGTTGATCATTCTACGAGGAGCACAAAAGAGTTTATTATCCTACGCATAAGGGCATATTACTCTATGGAGTTCACAAAAGGGTTTATTATTCTACGCGCAAGGGTAGATTATCCAATGATTACATCAGAAGGGTAGATCACTCGGCGGTTTTAAGAAGAGGGTTTATCATTCTACACCTAAGCGTATATCATTCTACCATTATTGAAAGAAGAGTTTATTACCGTACGCAGAATAGTACGCTTTCTAGAATCATGAAAAGAAGGGTTTATTTTGCTGCTCATAAGGGTAGATTGTTCTGCGTTTGCAGAATAAGGGTTTACCATCCTACGTCTAACAGTAGATCATTCTTCGTCTAAAGATAGATCATTCTACACTGAAAAAAATCCGCATAATGATCTATCCTTGGTCTGTCAGTTTTCACGTATAAACCCTCGAAGGGTTTATGCAAATATTATAAATCCTTTAAGCGTTTGTTGATGAAAGTGTTTATCAAACCATGGGTTTGTGGAACTTCGACGGGTACATAGAAGTTACACAAAGGTCTTCCAGTGCAATATTTTCAGCTAAGGGTTTGTTCTCCCACGGATGACAGTGGATCATTCTATGGTCTCGAGATAAGGGTAAATTATTATCTGCTTTAGGATTTATTGTTCTGCTTTTGTGTTATCAGGGTTCATTACTATACTGGGGGGAGTTGGTCCTTCTCCTTTTCTTTGAAAAGTTTGTTACTCTACGAGTAAGGGTTGATTCTTCTCCTTTTTCTTTCGAAGGGTATATTATAGTACGGATAGCAATCAATCCTTCTTCCGTTTTCTTCGAAGAGTTTATCAGTACACGACTAGGGTATTGATCCTTCTCCGCGTGGGTGTGGGTGTGGGTGGATTGGTGTGGCTGATTCATCAATAGACTAACAGCCACACCCACACTCACACCCCATACCTACACCCACACCCACACTCACACCCACACTCTTGTCTATTTTGCGTTGATGGGTAGATTATTTCTCTTAATTTTAGGTTCTCTTTGTCATATAAGTCTTATAAGTTGAGATTAGAACTGGATTTAATAAAGTAGTAAAAAATTATTATATGGTATTACTTAATTTTCTTTTAAAGTGAGTGTATCATATAAAATGTAGCCCCTATATATATATCTGCACTGAATGACGACAAAAAATAACTTGAACGGCTCTTGATTAGCGGAAAAAATTGACTAACCACTGAAAATAAACGGGTTTGGTGGAAAACATCGAAAAGAAAAATGCCGAATAGGAAAAGACCGAAAGGAAAATGTCGAAAAGACAAATATCGAAAGATAAAATATGGAATATTAATGCATTTTCCTTTCGACGTTTTCCTTTTCGACATTTTCCTTTCGACCTTTTCCTATTCGGCATTTTTCTTTTCGATGTTTTCCACCAAACCCAAATAAACTAGATTTCTATCATCGAAAATTTCTTTTACTTTGAAAACGAAAATGCTCATGTCCTTAAGATTATTTCTACTACAAATTTCTAGTTCGCTTTTAGAATTATTAATGACATCATAGGTGATATATTATTATTTAGATCTCTTGTAAATAACATTTTGACTATTTTCCATTCTTTTCTTTCATAATCAACGATATCAAAAGTTTTTCCCTGGATCAGGATCAACAGTGTAATTGTAAATGGTTTCCAAACTTTCTAAGGCTGACTAAATAATGCTTGATTACTTTGATTAAAAGAAGTGAAGTCCGATTAACCAACATTGAATAGATGAAACACAATATCTGATCTTTGCTGTTTCTTGTTAATCAAAATATGCAGAACATTTAGTATTCCTTCTATGGTTTTATTTTAATTTTAAGAAACATTACAATTTAGATTGTTTGCCGTTTTAATTAAAATTTCTGGAGAAGACACGTGTTATTTCACAATCAAAAACATCGACTAGCTACTTATGTTAATCCGTTAAACAATCTAAATAACGGCATATTCATCTTTCCAAATTATGGTTATGCACAAGATTTTTCAGTAAAAAGACTAATCGTTTGAATTTGAAGTACCCTTTACATGAGTACCAAGGCAAGAACGCAATATTCAGTCAATGGTGGTAAATGTAATAAGGAGTTGAGTTTTCACTAAGTGCTTTTGAGTACGCTTTTTTTTTCAATAAAATGTTTTAGACTTGTTTAAATATAGTAATGCATTGTCAATTAATATATTTGTTCAAGCTTCTACATATCATACCTTAAAGAAATGTGAAGATAAAATAGATTTGTTTAAAACTTTATTGGCTTCTCTAGCATAGTGAGCTTGTACCGTCCTTGAATTGATTGCATGTTCATGTAAAAAAAGTTGTTCAGAAAAAATTTTGATATGAAAAATTGTGTTTTATTTGCACCCAAAATTTTGAATTTCTCAGGTATATTTGGTATTCTTCGTGAGAAACAGCATTTTAACCATTTTTGTGCTTAAATTTGACGAAATTGGGTAGAAAAATGCATAAAAAAAAAGTGGAAAAAAATGGAAATGTTGAAAAATTCGACAAAAATACGATTTTTTTGTGCGGTTTTTGAAATAAACGAAAACCATACACAAATTTCGACTAAAAGTCGACACTTTAGTTCAAAAAACGTAAAAAATTCACATGTCTGTCTGCTTGAGTATAGTCGTGAACTAACGATCATCGAATGTCTTAAATAGAATTTGATATGAAAGAAAAACATACAAAAAGATCAAATTTCGGTTTCACTCGGACATGAATACATAGGACAGATTAACGTGTTTCTCTTCGAATTTTCAATCCATAGGGCTGATTTTTTTAGAGTAAGTTGAGCTATCACGTATATATCTCTGATATAAAAATCAGTCCTAACAAAGATGTCAGAGATAAGTAATCATAAAAACAATACGTTTCATTTATTTTGGCCACGGAAATAAATTGAAGAATTATATTGTCCTTATAATGTATAGAAATTTTGAATTATTTTGTAATTCATTTCTGATATGAATTTCATTTCAGCCATCTTCTTATGAACAAGAACTTTTTATGGAATCATCTATCGGATTGATATTATAGTCGACATGTTTGTATTATTTTCAGCACACTTTTAGTTATAGAAAGAATGTTAAATGTAGATCAGTAGTTCAATTACAATTAGTTTCTTTTATTTCATTACCGGTCATCTTATTCAAAGTTGAATAGCATCAATTTTACCTGTCGAGCTCCGTTATATATTATTATTTTTTCTTATCAAGGAAATGTCAATAGCTAAAATGAGTCATTCTTTTCATTAATCTTTCCTTTTTTTCAAGAGCAGATATTTGGCTTTCAATCTAGTAACACTCGTCATATTGCATAGTTGCCTTTAATCTTCTTTCTTCTTCTTCTTCTTCTTCAAAATATTATTACAATACATTACGAGATATTAGATCAGGTAAATTATATCGCCCGATTCTATTGTGGCTATTTATAGAATAATGCAAATTTTTAATATTGAACCTAATCGTTAGATAAATGATAAACTTGAACTTGTGAGAGTTTATTTAATTTTCTTAAGATCTATTCACTGAGAATATAAACTTGCAGCTCATCACATAGTACAGGTAGTGTCTGTGTTAATCTGAAAATCAAATCTGATACATGTAAAGATGTAAAATTTTGATCAAGCACATTCTTATTAGATGATTTTTAGTTCAGTTATACTTTTTATACATCGATGTAGGCCATCAATAGTTATGTCAAAGATCAATTAATATTTCTTTGCTAGATTCAATCTGTAAGGTAATAAATTAACTTTGATATGAATAACAATATATCGACAACAACTATCGATCCAGCTGCAGCTAGACTAAATGCTGCTCGTATTGGGATACAACACATTGGTCAACCAATTCTTCTTACACTTGGTATGATTGGATGCATATTAAATATTGCAATTTTTCGTCGTTCTTCAATGCGCATAAATTCATGTGCTATTTATTTTCATGCAAGTTCATGGGCTAATTTATTTTGTTTAACATGGGGACTGTTTATTAGTATGCTTGCTTCTTTTACTAACAATAATCCACTAACATATAATTCGGCATATTGTAAAATTCGTTATTATATACTTACTGGTTCTCAATTGTCAAGTAGAGCATGTGTTGTCCTAGCATGTCTAGATCGTTTTTTACTGTGCTCACAATCAGTTCGACAACGATTATTTTGTCGAGCAAGTGTAGCAATTAAAGTTATATCGATAACTATTTTCAGTTGTGCTTGTTTATCAATCTATGTATTGATAGTTTATGATTCGTTTCCTCAACAACGTCTATGTGTTCCTAGTTCGGCAGCAGGAAGAATAATTGATACTACAGTCTTATTCTTATTCAATTTTGGAACTCCAGCTTTGTTAATGAGTACATTAAGCGGCATGATTATATGGCGATTGAAGCAAAATGCAAAACGGATTGGCCATCAAAGAGTAAGTGTTCTATATACTTTTACTTTGACCCATCTCTGCCATAGTATCTGTTGTAATCGTGATTGCAATTAAATCGATTGTAACCTTTTAAGTAATTGATACCCTAGACAATGTACTGAGTTAAGGATACCCGAAAAAGTACCCTGGTATCAGTATGTCACAGGAACTTTTGGATACCAAGGTACTTGTTGGTAGTTTCAGGTACTTAAGTAGTACTTTGGCAAGTACCCTGCTACAAAATGCGTAGTAATTGAGTATCTGAAGGTACTGATCAGATAATCAATTGGGTACTATTGTACAGTATTTCTAAGTACCCTGTTACCAAAATTTCAGTATGTTCAAGATCGAATCTGACCTTTCACTTTTTAAAATTTTTGTTTCTCTCAAAACAATTTACTACATTTTTTTTTCGATTTCGAAAACTTAGCAGGTACAATGCCGGGATCTAACTCGATTTGAGTTGGTCGAGTATCCGTCGGACCACTTCTGGGTAGTGCGCTCTTAATCTACGATCAAAATCGGCATGTTTTCAACTAAAAAAACTGTTAGCGCAATCCCTTGCGGGATTAAAAAGTGAAACACGATGTACCTGCTGTTGCTAATCTTATAAAAATTGTTCTTTTTTATGCTTATTGGTGTACATTTCTTCATCGTGGCTTACTTTGCATTATAGAGCTGAAATAGGATAATACTCCATATATGCTCCACTCATGTGCTAGTTATCTATTATCCCTGATAGTTCCTTGAACTCTTCTTGCACAGTCTATGATGACCCCTGGAGCTTGTCTGTCACGGTCTGTGAGGGGTCAAGAGCTCTGTCTGTCACGGTCTGTGATGAGTTCAGAGCCCTGTCTGTCACGGTGTATGATGGGTCCAAAGCCTGTCTGTCCCGGTCTGTGATGGATTCGAAGCCTGTCTGTCACGGTCTGTGAGGAGTCACGTGAGTGTCTGCCACGGTCTATGGGGGGAGGGGGGTGAAAATTTCTACCCCTAAATACTTCAACACTCCTTTCAGATCGTATTTCACAAAATAGCCCAGAAATAATTCAGAAAAGATTATTATGAAAATAGATTATTTTTTTATGTTTTGCCCAGTTGTTTATAATGGAGCTTTGCGTGAAAAACAAAATGATGAATGAATAGTCGCCACACAGAAGGCGACAAATGTAGGATACCCTGTCCAGCTTTCCTCAGTAAAATTACAGATGTGGGTGCCCATACAAGTACTTGTTCAGTGAGCGTACTTGCATGAGAACCACATGCAGTATCTACATCAGTATAATTACTGAGAATTTTCGAAGTATCTATGTTGGATACCCTGAACTCAATACTTTCTCTAGGGTAACTCAAAGTGTGATAATTCTCTGGATAAATTATTTGACATAGATAAACTATTTTCACAAAATCTTTCAGACGTTTTTTGCGGTTGAAAAAGTCAAATATTATCATTTGAAATATACTTTACTCTTTATGTAATCTAGGTTCACGTACGCAAAAGAGACCTTCAACTCTCAGCTATGCTTATAGGACAGGTGGCTTTGTACATTACAACGGCACTTCCATTTGTTAGCAATTTTGTCTATACGGCAGTAACACAATATGTTCCATCATCAAGTAAATCGGCATATCGTATTGCAGCAGAAACTTTAGCTTTAACAGCAACGGGAAGTTTTGGTACCTTTATATTCAATGCGGTAAGAATCTGTATTACACATAGACGTTTATTTTATAATATGTGATCTTAGTTAACGTTTTATGTTTACACATTGGCAGCACCAAGTTTCCGTCGTGAACTATTTGCATTGATCGTTTCGAGACGATGGATGAATTACTTTCAACCAACAGAACAACTTCAACTGTCCCTAAATAATCGAATCAATCCATCACGTCGAGATGGTAAATCGATCAATTCTCAAGTTTAACAAAATTAATCATAATGAATCTTCATCAACAACAATACAGACGAACGATTTTTTCATTTATCATTGATCCGTTAAAATTATTTGATTGTACATTTGAAAATCATCTATCTCGCACATTTATATGTTGCTCAGTTTCGTGATGTCTGTATTGTCTTATTAGTATAGTATAAAAGCTATTGATAATAGTGAAAACTTAATTAATACTTTTTAATATGAAAGTGTATGAGGGTGAGGGTGAGGGTGACGTTAATTGTCTTCTCTGCACTGTCATCCTAAAATTTCATTCAAATTTCGTTTTCAAGCAAAATATTGGCTTCGATTTATACAATTATGTTTGTCCTCAATTATAGGATACAAGCCCGTTCATCTACCAGAAATATCTGTAAAATTTTAGGAATAAAAGTGAAGGCAAAGACGAGATTACAGAAATATCTTACAAGCATCTGTTTTAGATTTTCTTAATAATACTTATTGGATTAAATGCTTGTAGTAGAAATATAACTTCTTCTAAGGAAAAATAACTTGTTAACAATCAAACAATATACGTTTAAATAAAATTATGGTTCTTAATAATTATTAGAAATCTTTTTTTCTTTGTAGAAGTAATCAACATCAAACATATAATTCATCTCGTTTTAGTTAGCAAAAAACATCGTAGTATATTTTTGAAGGCTTGTATACATGTAAGAAACAATTCGTTACGAAATGCTTTCGATCTCAATGTATAAAGAACAAAAATAAGCTAAACCAAAATATATGTAATGAAAATTAGTGAAAAACTATTTATGCATACCACAATATAAGTACATAAAAGCTGTTAGCGTAATCCCTCGCGGGATTAAAAATGTGAAATACGATGTAGTTGCTATAGTCGATGTTTTAAAAGCTATTATTTTTTATGCATAGTGGGGTGTGGGGTGGGGGTGGGTGTGGGTGCAGATGTCGGTATGAATGAAACGAAGATTGACACCCACACCCATACCCACACCCACACCCACACCCACACACCCAACCCATACCCACACCCACCCGCATACCCACACCCTAAGAAAAAAAGAAAAAGTTATTTTGGAATATAAATGTAGTTTAAGCACACTCTCATCTTCATGCGTAGAATATGCTAATTAAACGAGATGATGTGCTTAAATTTATAGCAACAGTGAAATAACTCATGAAAAGAAATGGAAATGATCAACTTTGAAATCATCTGGTAATACTGTTTCCTTCGCCTTTCTATTATGTCATTTAAATATTAAAATATTTATTAGAAATGTGAAGTCTCAAACTTACGACGCGTTTTAATTTGTCAATTTAGAAAATTCAGGACATCGATTTTTTTTCTGAATAGTCCCGATTCCGTTTGTCCCGTCTCGAAAAATTTTCGGAACAATCCCAAATGTTTCACGGGACGACACATATGGGATTTTTCAGGATTCGGGACTGTCCCGCAGATCTTTATTTATAATTCTATGTCTAATCTAATCTTTGTTCATAAAGGAGTCATTATAATTTATTACACTACCTTGATGTGATGTGCTCGTTCGATAAAGATTGCCATTAAAAATTTCAAAAGTCTTCACTCAATTATTTGACAATGATTAGCAATATATTTGATTTATGATCCTGTTTCGTGCTGAAGTAGTTTTGAGTAGTATCGTGCTCTAGTTTCCTTCGCTTTTATAATCAAAAAAGCATATATATGATATTGACCTAGTAGATTAGAGAAAAAAGGAAGACATTTCTCTTGCTTTAAAAGGATCATGTTTTGCTCGATCTAATTATTTTCAAAGCATTTTACGTATTTTTCAGCCATCTTGAATAATGATATTTCTTTTCTTGGTACTTGCTGCTGGAATATCTCTTATATCCAGTCAAAAACCATGTTGTGGACCATCACAGTGGGAAAGCACATTAAGTTCGTCAAAGGGTGTCTATCTACCCAGTATATTACAAGGAGCGTTTGTAAGTTTTTGAATATACTAAATTTCGTTTTATTACACAGTGCCGAGTTTCAGGCTTCTTATAATTATTCATGCGATTTTGATGCAAAATTGATCTCGATGAGAGGTGTGATTTATGACAGTGATCAGCGAAAGACAAATGTTCACATCATTGAAGATTATGGGAGCAATATCGTGTATTATGTTGATTTGAACCAAGATGTGTGCTCAAAAGAACGCTTAGTATTGCCCTTGATACCATGTATACCAGGTAGGGACAAAGTTAAAATGCCACCAGTATGACGAGTGAAGTATAAAGAATGGCAGTCTCCGTATTTTTTGGCATGGCTTTCTTCTTACTTTCTCAAGAGTTAGTTTTTTCTTGAACGAATAATTGATACATAATCAGATCGTTCCAAATTCATTTTGTTAATTTAAAAAACACGTGACATTACCGTGTCGCCAATGTCCTACAATCCTAGCACACTTATTTTCACTTTTTCAAAATCTTCGATTTTGATCCCCGTACTTACTTGTGGTTGTTTGATTTCTTTCCAACGATTTAGTTCAAGAAATTCTGAAAATTTTTTCCACTTGAGCTATCGAATTTCCAACTTTACTAGTAGTGTATCTTACAAATTCCAGCCCATCTATCGATCACTTGGAAAAGTTGATAGTTTCGTAATAGCAACATATCTCTGCAATTCCATCAAGGGATATTCTTGACAACACACGAATTTCCGTGATCGATATAAGGAATAGTGATACATGTCTGTGAGGGATGTATGTTACCTGTAGATCTGCATGGTGAATCATTGAAACATGGGCAGGACAGCAACACAGATATATCACACGACAAGAAAACAACTGTTCACGTTTAAAATTTGTCCCCGTCTGAGCTCATCTCTATCGTTTACTATTCAACTTCTAGTACAATTTTTCCGTTGTAGCGTAGAACTCCTGAAAAACTCTTCTTTCCCTGCTTTTTTTCGAAAAATTTCTTCTCAAAATCCTTCTTTTCGGCTACCTTCTGCTGTGCCTCCGATGATCTATTTTCTACTTATAACTAAACATTTTCTGCACTGCACTTCGTTGAAAGGAGAGCTTTTTTCTTTTTAATTTTTTTAAAGTTATCACTTTCAAAGGCTACTTGCCTTATTAGTTTATAAGGTTGTGTATTGAAAGTTAAGAAACGCAAGAACTATTGAATTCTTTGAAAATAACACCACATCACATTTCATCAAATGTGCTGTGACTTTTCGATGTTGAGATTTGACTTACTGAAATGGCATATTTTAAAAACTCATGACAATGATTTTGCAACTGTTTCCAAAGTGAAACAGTCGAGCATTTCTTTTTCTCGTGTTCAAATTACTATTCAGTTAGACTGAAACTTTTTCATAGAATACAACATCACGATTCGAGTGTTGATATTGATGTTGAAACATGATTCCTGCAAAAAACATTTCCTCCTATTTGCACCAGGCTATTTATAAAATAATAATAGATTATAGTTGTGAAACCAAACGTTTCGAATGACTACCACTTTCTTTCTACCTAGTCTTCTTTTTCTCTCATTTATCTCTTATTTTGTAACAACAAATCATTCCTTTAGTTAGATAAACATTTTTTTTTTCTATTATTATTATTTCTCTCAACTTGCTCATTTGTTTATTTTTTACTCTCATCCTTACTGGTAATGTATAACAAGCCAATTTAGCAGATAGTGTCAAGAAATATTTCTTGTCGTACAATAAATGTAGCTTAAACTAAAGTTAAGAAAAGTATAATACGTTAAACTATGCCGCATTGATGATTTCATTAATACATGTTATACTATTATCGGTTAAAGTTTTCGATAAAATAACTCTAATTTTTGACAAGTATAAATCATGCCTATTTTCTATAGATACTGCGACTTATATCCATTCATATATGTACGGCTATGGTGATAAACAAATTCCCGGTCATATGTGGTTGATTACAGAAGAGAATTTTTATACATACATGGCAGTTAGTGGTGATGGAAATTGTATACCGCTAACACAAACATTATATCTACGTTCACCAAGTATGTGTTCCTTCGTTTACTTCAGGTCTTGGTCAAGTAACTTGGCAACCAGTAAAATTCCATGATAATATTTCGCGCTTTCTTCTCCAAGTTTTCGATCGACGGTAGACTCTGAGCGCTAACCTGCTAACTGAAAGACTAAAATGTGTTCAGAAAATAAGCACCAAACATTGACATGCACTTTTTAGATTCGCTTATAAAAAGTGGTAGTTTATATTCATAGATATTTTCAGAATAGAACAACATCATGTAGACTATGGAATGTTCAACACACTTTAGTCTTCGACTTCGAGTTAGCAGATTAGCGCTCAGAGTGTACCGTCGATCGAAAACTATGAAAAGAAAGCGTAAGAATATCAACATGAAATTTTGGTGATTGCAAAGTTAGGTAACTAAACCGTAAAATTTCGTATTTTTTGTTTATTCTAGTACCAGTAATTATTTCAATGACAATAACTGATTTTACACCAGGTATTAAAGATCGAAGTGTGTTTGTCATTCCTGATATATGCAATAAGACGTAACATGACAAAACTTTTTTACAATTTTATTTATTGTCAGTTTTACCTTTCTTTTTTCTGAACAATAAATGTCTGTGCTCAGACTTGAGAAAAAAAGAAAGTAACTTACTCATCTTTTTATTATAAATCGCGGACTCTATTGAACTGGTTGTCTTTTGTTGATAAAGTAATTTTTCTTCCGTTCCGGAATGAAATGACTCAAGATAAAAATTCAGAATATCTACCAATTCGAGTAGATAAAATGAATCATCATGAAGCCAGATTTTCCTAACTAGAGCGTTCTTTTAACATCGAAACGTTTTAAAGTTTCAGCTTGTAGCCAAATGATAAGATCTCTTTATATCTTAATAATTCGTTCAAGAATCGTCTAAGATTGATCAGTCCAGCATTTAAAAGCCATTACCTACACAAATGAAGTTGAAAGTTAATATTACTTTGACGGGAGTCATCATTACATGTACACTATCACCAAGGTCACAAGATGTGAAAGTAAAAATTCCAGAATGCGAAAGTCAAAATCCAGACAATTCCGGAATTTTTTTTCAAATTCCAGAAAAAAAACTGGAAAACATTTTTTGAGTATCTTATTAAACCGCTCGAGATGTGTTTTTCTCAACGAGAAGACTATTTGGTATTTCTCACGAGTGGTTTTATTGTTATGAATATCAGTTGACAGTTAACGTTGGATATTCACATTTTTTCAAAGTTATTTATCTTCGGAATTCTGTTCAAACCCCCTCGCTTTTTCCATTGTGAGGAACATAAAACTGACTATTAAATGCCATATCTTGGGCTTCACTGTTACTCAGTTTGTATTATTTTAAAAGTTTAAATTTGCTTAATCTTTTAGGCTGCAACACATTTTTCTTTCTACTTGCTTGCCCTTTTACTTCTTTTATCTAACTCAGCTGATTTTAGTGATTGTGTTCTTTTCGTAAGATTTCGACTTTGCTCTGATTAGATATCAGAAAATTACAGGAGAAAGACAAATTTAAGATTCAGATTGCGCTGCTGGTCTATTTTGTCTTCTTTGAATGATTCAGTGAAAAACTATATGGAAAAATAAAGAAAATATAGTTGACATTTCAAGGTGACCAATCGAAGAAAAAAAAAATGAATAGTCAGTAAATAATTGATAAATACTTTTAAAAATCAAAAAAACAAGTTTAATGTAATTGGAATAGACTATAGCTCAATTTCCAGGAAAAATCCAGAAACTAGAAAGATTCTAGAAAAACCTGCTGAATCTCGAATTTTTCTGGAAAATCCAGAAGATCTGGCAACCCTGGCTATCACCACGTATTAGTACGCTGCTGTGCTTCATCATAGTTTCTTTCTCTTATGTATTCTCTTTCTCTCTGTAGCGGGTGTGGGTGTGGGTGTGGGTGTGAATGGGTGTGGGTGGGTGTGGGTGTGGGTGGGGTGGGTGAGGGTGTAGGTGTGGGTGTGAGATGGGTGTGGCTTTTGGTTTCTCATCATCCATACTTCACACCCACACCCACACCTACACCCCGACACCCACACACCCACACCCTCACCCTCATTTCTCTCTTTTTGAACGACAAAAACAAAATTAACCGAGCTCATTTATATCTTTTCAGAGTATAAATTAATTTCCGAGCTCAAAACTTTCATTTATATAAAAAAATATAATTTTATTACAACCGAGCTCATTTCTCTCATTTTAAAGCCAATTAAACACACCGAGCTCAAATATCTCTTTTTTCCGCGCCCATTTAATTTCGCGTCCCAAAAAAATATGGGTAGTTTTAGCTTGAAAGTAATTGTTGGATAGGAAGCAAAGGATCTGCTCAAAATGACGTGATTTTCAATCAGTTCCATAACTGATTTAATACATTTCTTTTGTGTTGTTACAACATAACCACCTAATGATGGATCAGCAACATGATCAATAAAAAACTTAGCTATAGGTCGATCTAAAGAATTATTTTTAATTAAATAACGTGTACGTTTTATATAAATTTGTTGAAGATCAATGCCAGTTGGAGCAATATCTGTATTGATTTTATCAAGCTCATCATAAATGATATCAACACTTTCAACATGAACTTCTTGAAGGGTTATTGGAGTTGTACGAAGAATTGATACAGTTGAATCAAAACCATAACTATCATATATTAATATTAAAAATCAAGGAGAAAACAATACAAAGAAAATATTTTTTTTTAAACATACTTAATCAATTGATCATCATTTGGCAACATTGGTGTAAACGCACCTTGAACAACAAAACATCCATTATCCAAAACAGCAATACTTCCTGGTGCTAATACAACATTACTACTATTTCGTAAATGAACAGCTTTGATTGCATTTAAATCATTAATTTTCGAATCATAATAAAGTACTAATTGTGCATCCATTTGCCATTTATTAATTGTTACTAAAATACTTTCATGTGATCGAATTGTAACTGGTGTATTGATTTTATAAACAACATTCTCACTAAGACCACTCATTTGACTCGAATCAATTGATTCATAATTTTCATCATCATCATCGTCAACAACAACTCTCGTAATATTAATAGCTCTTCTCTTACCTTCTTTATTTTGAATTTTAGATTTTACTTGTTGAATTGTATCAGATGGATCGATCTGTTATTGACAAAAGAAAAACTCATAGATAATCAATAAATGAATTCTTCTTTATACATACGTCTATCGTAATTGTTTTGCCTGTCAATGTTTTAATGAAAATTTGCATGCTACCTGATGATTCTCTATCACTATATTCGGCTTCTTCACGAACAATAGAAGTCATAAGTGTTACTTTATTATTACTTAAAATTTGAAGTTCATTAGCAACAAGTATGAGTTCAACTTGAGACCAATCTTCTTCCGTTGGATTATTAACTGAACCAAATAAAGTTAGATCAACTGTTGAACCATTACTGTTTGATAAGGATGAATCAATTTCACATCGATATAAACAACGCCATTCTCTTGTTGGATAACAATAAGATACTTTGAATATATTTGATTCATCAATAATATTTGTAGTAGTAATAGCAGGTTTTGAAGAAAATGTTAATAAATTATCACTATAAAAAAAAATTGAACGTAATTTAAGCCTACATTTAATGATGGTTTATGATTGTCGAATGTTTTTGTTAAGACTTTATCGAGTTGTGCTTGTAAATATACATCATTAAGTTGAATGCTATGGATAGAAGCAACTAATTAAAATAAACAGATTTTGATTAGGGTGTGGGTGTGGGTGTGGGTGGGTGGGTGTGGGTGTAGGTGTGGGTGGGTGTGGGTGTGGGTGTGGGTGTGGGGTGTGGGTGTGGGGTGTGGGTATGGAGTGAGTGCGGGTATGGGGTGTACGCAAAAAATATATCCATACACCCACGCCCACGCCCACCCACACACCCACACCTACACCCACACCTACACCCACACCCACACCCACACCCACACCCCACACCCACACCCTACACCCACACCCTTCAATAATTTGAAATAAATATTTAGGTTATTCTTTGTTATTAATGTTTGATTAGGTTTTTCCATTTCAAGCTAATGAATCAATAATAAAAATGTATGAAACTGTTGAAGACCACTCGTCCTCGTTCTATGATTGCGGGTAGATTTCAACAAGACTAGATTAAAAGACTTCATGGCCTCCTGATAAACAATCATGACTGTTCTAATGAAATTGTTCCCGAGACCAACACAGAAAATGATCAGGTCTTTTTTCACGATGTATTCGGTTTCCAAACTGACGCGATTGCTGCGCCCTTTTATTGTAAACTTCTAGTTCTTTTGAATATTGAAAATTTCAAGAAAAACATATTCGTTTTTTTCGTTGAACATTTTAAGAATTTCAAGTTTATTTATAAGCAAAATTTCATATCAACTATTTGTTTCGAATTTTTCGGGGTATGGGTTGTGCGTATTTCAGAAATGATGGAAACAAACACACTAACACCTCCTCACACCCACATCTTCTTCTGATAACGTATGTGTTTTGAAGTGTATCACAGTACGAAACAAATTTGCATCTGTTCGTTACACGTAGATTGTGTGACTCGACGAATAGAAAATGCAAACAAGAGAAATAAGAGCTTGTTGTTTTGTTGATACTTGAAAAAAATAACAACACGGCGTGCTTGCCGATAAGTAGACGTTTGTGTAGACAAAGGTAAGAGGTAAACAACTCTATTTTGTCGTTACTTATAATAAATATCTTGTAATAGTCTCTTATGAGTTACCAAAATTTGTTAACGAACTTGTTTGTGACAGGTGCAAATTTGGAATATTGTATTTTAGTAACGATTGAGGAACTTGTAAGGTTTCTTCTTTGGTCTGCGAGAACTAACTTAGAACATCTATCCATGTAAGACACGCAAGTCGAAAGGTTACTCTATTATCATTCTCAGTATGTGAAGAAGAGAAGAAGCACTCACAAAAGAAAATTCTTTATTGATCTTGGACTTGTCGTGAATTGAACAAAAGGATGAGATTGAGACAATGATTTTCTTTTGAAGATGAGGGTAAAAGACAGACAATATGATGAGGAGGTGAAGCAATAACAGCTGGGAAGATCATGTGAGGAAAAAAGAATGGACGAAAAAATAACATGCAACAGGACGGGATCGAAACGAATAATTCATGAAAATGATAATAGTAGGCGAATCACATTATGCCTCTCGTAAGTCAGTTTGAATTATGAATGAAAGAAAAAAAATGAAGCGAAGACAACTGGATGACTTGCCCAGTCCTACTAATAGTTAGCGACAATATCCTTAGCATAATTGAGGCTAAACAAAAGTTTTATTTTATTTGTCGATTGTTCAACAACAGCCTGAGATTCAGGACTGTTTCGGAGTCGTCAAAATTCGATCCTCAATCAATCCACCGAGTTCTAAAATAATCTAAATTTTGGCACTTAACGCCATGATGAAGATTAGTTGAATACATGAAACTATCATTATGTTAGTGTCATCTCTTGAGTCTCTCATTGATTGTGCAGATTTGTGGCGAGATTAGATCTATCATATCATACGATTAGTTTTTACAACAACGCAAATGACTGCGAACGATCCCGGCCATGTGAGTAAGTATGCCATCAATCGACTAAAGGTTGGTTTATTAACGAATTTCGTATTAGACAATCTGGACAGGAAACAAATGGAAACTCTCAAAGGTTACTGGATAGCCTTAAGCAATGTCATCAGTAGTCAAAGCTCGTTACCTGTTAACCAAATTGCCGATTCTATCTATGGAAACGAGCTCTTTTATGCTGTTGGTTGTGACAATCCTGATGTGTTTGCACTTCAATATCTCCGTGCTCGCAAATGGAATATTCATACAGCTGTTCAACACACGATAGATACGTTGCATTGGCGACATAAATGGGGCGTTCAGGCACTTATAGAGAGGGGTGAAAGTGACCTTTCCCAGGAAGAAATCAAGACAGGAAAGAGCTATCTCCTTGGTCATGACAAAGCTGGCCGTCCGATTAACTTTGTTTCTGCCAAAGACCACATTAAAGGCCAATTTCCTAACGAACTTACCGAGAAGCTGACCGTTTTGATTATGGAAACGGGCCGCAAACTAGCCGAACCTCACATTGAGACAGGTACGGCAATTGTCGACATGACTGGGTTTGGTATGAAAAACATGGACTATCAGCACGCCAAATTTGCTATTAATCTGCTCCAGAATTACTATCCAGAATCATTCGGTATGGGACTCATTCTCAATGCTCCTTGGGTGTTTTATGGTTTTTGGATCATCATCAAGCAGTGGTTGGATCCGGCCATTGAAAGTAAAATTCATTTTATAAGAAACGAAGCTGATTTAACCAAATATATCGATCCATCCATTCTTCCAGTACAACTGAATGGCAGTCAGCCCGATTTCGAATATATTCCGCCGACAGCTCATGATGAAGCTATGGCAGCCGCCTTTCGTGCCGATACTCAAGGCAAAGCAGATTGCCAAGCAGCTCACAAGGACGCTGCTCGATCCTATCTGAGTGTCACACTAGAATGGGCTCACAGCGACGAAAATCCTAATTTACTAGCAGAGAGAACAACGGCTGCAAAACAACTAAGAGATGCATTTGAAAAATTGCTTCCGTACATAAGCACTCGAACTCACTATCACCGCACAGGACTTATCAACGAGCCGATCTTTCATACCACATATGATCGGCTTCGCGAGTCAACATTGAAGCACAATTAGTGCAATTTCAACCCTATGATTGATTGACTTGATAATAAACACTTGCGCTGGACTAGTGACAATAAATTCTTCTCTATTCTTTGTTCAGATGAAATCTGAATAAGAAACTCATATCGCAGGATGTTTATAGAGAATCAGCAATGAAACTTTCCTGAATCTACAATACGTTTTTGTTGAAACCGATCTTTGACGGAAGCATAGGTGTTTCATCAATTTCTCTTCGAGTGAGGTCGTTAAATACACGAAAATTTGAGAAAACCTAGAGATGTAGGACAAATCTCAGAAGGGAAGAAAAAAAGGATACCAAATTAGATATTAGGAAAGTAATCCAACAAATTAGGATTTTGTTTGACAAAGCAAGAGATCTGGTCAACCCGATCGAGAATGCCTTCCAATGATATATCACATACTGCATAGGAATGATATGAGAGTTCTATAGTTGGGATTGGTTTTGTCTTGTAATTATCTTATATCAATCGATCTTGTTTGTATTTTGAAAATTGTGACAATATCCTTGTCGCACTCTGAATAACGTTGAAATTCCATAATGAAAAGAGAAACTATGCTCTCAAGAG